CTGGGGTTGCGGCGCTCATCTCGCTTTATTGGCCAAGGGAGCCGGCGTACAGCTTCCGGGTCATGTGGCCAGCATGACTAAGCCGCTTCTGGAGAACCAGAGCAGCGCACGGAAATGCCGTTTACCTTTCCGCCGGAGCGGTACCTATTTATCTACTTGCACTTTGACGTCCTTTCAAACTGCCAGGTTGGCAGGAGCAGGGACTGAGCAATGGGAGCTCACCCCATCACAGGGATTCGAACCGCCGACCTTCTGATCAGCAAGTCCTAGGCTCTGTGGTTTAACCCACAGCGCCACCCACGTCCCTGTTAGGAACAAAGGCCTACATTATTTGTGGACACTGCATGGGTCAGCAAATTTTTTCAGCAGGGGGCCTGTCCACTGTCCCTCAGACCTTGTGGGGGCAGGACTATATTTTTTGGGGGGGAAATGAACGAATCTCTTTGCCCCACAAATAACCAGCGATGCATTTTAAATAAAAGGACACATTCTTCCCCCCCCCAAATGTTATTTATTAAAGTTTCAAACAAAATTACAATAATAAGAAAAAGGATAAAAAAAAAGAAAATACAAAATACAGAAAAATAAAGAACAGTTAAAAACAAATCAATCTTTCCATATCTTGTCTTTCATTTACTTGTTTCCCTGACCTCCTCACACCTCCCTTTTTTGTATTCCAGTTCAATTAGTTAATTCAGCAAATCCTTTCCCTCTTTATTTTTATCTTAATCCTTTGTCTTGATATATTATAACTTTAGATTCACACCTATTAGCAATCCATTTTTACATACACCTTTGTAACATTGCTGCTAAAACCACTTAACTTCATTCCAACATCATTCTAACATTCATTAATTTTACAGTATTTCTGTAAATAATCTTTAAATTTCTTCCAATCTTCTTCCACCAACTCTTCTCCCTGGTCTCGGATTCTGCCAGTCATTTCCGCCAATTCCATATAGTCCATTACCTTCATCTGCCATTCTTCCAAGGTGGGTAGTTCTTGTGTCTTCCAGTACTTTGCAATAAGTATTCTTGCTGCTGTTGTAGCATACATAAAGAAAGTTCTATCCTTCTTTGGCACCAATTGGCCAACCATGCCCAGGAGAAAGGCCTCTGGTTTCTTCAGAAATGTATATTTAAATACCTTTTTCATTTCATTATAAATCATCTCCCAGAAAGCCTTAATCCTTGGGCACGTCCACCAAAGGTGAAAGAATGTACCTTCAGTTTCTTTACATTTCCAACATTTATTATCGGGCAAATGGTAAATTTTTGCAAGCTTGACTGGTGTCATGTACCACCTGTATATCATTTTCATAATATTCTCTCTTAAGGCATTACATGCCGTAAACTTCATACCTGTGGTCCATAACTGTTCCCAGTCAGCCATCATAATGTTATGACCAACATCTTGTGCCCATTTAATCATAGCAGATTTCACCGTTTCATCCTGAGTGTTCCATTTCAACAGCAAGTTATACATCTTTGACAGAATCTTGGTTTTAGGATCTAACAGTTCTGTTTCCAATTTTGATTTTTCCACCTGGAAGCCAATTTTCTTGTCCAAATTATATGCCTCCATTATTTGATAATAATGAAGCCAATCTCACACTTTGTTTTTTAGTTTTTCAAAGCTCTGCAATTTCAATTTATCTCCCTCTTGTTCCAGAATTTCCCAATATTTCGGCCATTTGGCCTCCATATTGAGCTTTTTCTGAGCCTTCGCTTCCATTAGTAACAACCACCTTGGGGTTTTATTTTCAAGTAGGTCCTTATATCTTATCCAGACATTAAACAATGCTTTCCTGACAATATGGTTTTTAAATGCTTTATGTGCTTTGACCTTATCATACCACAAATATGCATGCCACCCAAATACATTGTTGAAACCTTCTAAATCCAAAATGTCCTGTGTTTTCAAGAAGCAGCCATTCTCTCAGCCAGCAAAAAGCGGCTGATTCATAATAAAGTTTAAGGTCTGGCAGGGCAAATCCACCTCTTTCTTTTGCATCCGTTAATATTTTAAATTTTATTCTAGGCTTCTTGCCCTGCCAGACAAATCTAGAAATATCTCTCTGCCACTTCTTGAAACAGTCCATTTTATCCAGAATTTGCAATGTTTGAAACAAAAACAACATTCTAGGCAATACATTCATTTTTATCACAGCAATACAGCCTAGCAGTGAAAGCTTCAAATTTGACCATATTTCTAAATCTTTTTTCACTTCCGTCCTGAATTTTTCATAGTTATCTTTAAATAAATTCCCATTTTTAGCTGTCATATTAATCCCCAGGTATTTCACTTTCTTAACCAATGTTAAGCCTGTCTCCTTCTGAAACCTCTCTCTCTCAATCGCTGTTAAGATTTTTCTCTAGAACCTTTGTTTTTAACTTATTCAGCTTAAATCCTGAGACCTGACCAAACTCTTGAATCAGTTCCAATACTCTTTTGGTACTAGATTCTGGCTCCTGTAATGTCAGTACTAAGTCATCTGCAAATGCTCTCAATATGTACTGTTTAGCTCCGACTTGTATACCCTTGACCAATTGGTCCCTTCTAATCATATTTAAAAGGACCTCCAGGACCGATATAAAAAGCAATGGGAGACATTCTACTCATGTGAAAACACACTGATTCCCGAACCGTCCACAGGCCAGATTTAGAAGGTGATTGGGCTGGATCCGGCCCTCAGGCCTTAGTTTGCCTACCCATGGCATAGTATAACTCAGGCATCCCCAAACTCGGTCCTCCAGCGGTTTTGCGACTACAACTCCCATAATCCCTAGCTAACAGGACCAGTGGTCAGGGATGATGGGAACTGTAGTCCCAAAATAGCTGGAGGGCCGAGTTTGGGGGTGCCTGGTATAACTTTAGGGAAGGTCTTTGCTCTTGGTTGCAGCGCCCCCTGGCTCTAAAAGAGGAAAGAATGGCAGGCCTTCCTCACAAAAGGGGATGTTCTCAAGGTAAGGTTGGAGACTGCCTTGCCCGAAATACGGCCACTCAAACGCTTCAATCTCCGGAACTGGCACTGTTCCAAGTGCCACGTGTAACACCCGTTCCAGATTTGTAAGAAATCAACAGCACCTATGGAATTCCCTGCCTTTTGACATCAGGCAGGAACTTTCACTGTCGTGTTTTTGGCACCTATTTGGGGCAAGCCTCTCCAGATGCGTCAGAACGTCAATGCATGTTCTGACCTGCTTTTAGTTTCTTGCTGGTTTTATCTTTTGAATGTTTAAAAGAGTTGCTTTTACAGTGGTACCTCGGGTTAAGGAACTTAATTCGTTCTGGAGGTCCGTTCTTAACCTGAAACTGTTCTTAACCTGAAGCACCACTTTAGTTAATGGGGCCTCCTTCTGCTGCCGTGCCGCCGGAGCACGATTTCTGTTCTCATCCTGAAGCAAAGTTCTTAAATCTGAAGCACTATTTCTGGGTTAGCAGAGTGTGTAACCTGAAGTGTCTGTAACCCGAGGTACCACTGTATATAAATTGGCGACCCAAAGATTTGGGTTGACATCATCTACTCCAGGGGTCAGCAAGGTTTAACCTTGCCTGGGCCGGTTCACTCCAGCGGAGATCCCTCTGTGGGCGGATCGCGCCCGTGCCCACGTTTTCTGGCATCAGACGCGATTTTCAGGACCGCAGAAGCAAGTCCCCGTGCTGTGTTGCACCGGTTTAGCGCAGCGCACCGGGACTTGCCAAGTGGGCAGCTCGGTTTGGGGACTTCCTGACAAACAGAAGGGGAAGAAATGGAGGCAGTGAGAGATTTTACTTTCTTGGGCTCCATGATCACTGCAGATGGGGACAGCAGTCACGAAATTAAAAGACGTCTGCTTCTTGGGAGAAAAGCAATGACAAACCTAGACAGCATCTTAAAAAGCAGAGGCATCACCTTGCCAACAAAGGTCCGTATAGTTCAAGCTCTGGTTTTCCCAGTAATGATGTATGGAAGTGAGAGCTGGACCATAAAGAAGGCTGATCGCCGAAGAATGGATGCTTTTGAATTCTGGTGCTGGAGGAGACTCTGGAGAGTCCCATGGACTGCAAGAAGATCCAACCTCTCCATTGTGATGGAAATCAGCCCTGAGTGCTCACTGGAAGGACATATCGTGAAGGTGAGGCTCCAAGACTTTGGCCACCTCATGAGAAGAGAAGACTCCCTGGAAAAGACCCTGATGTTGGGAAAGATGGAGGGCGCAAGGAGAAGAGGACAACAGAGGACAAGATGGTGGGACAGTGTTCTCAAATCTACCAGCATGAGTTTGACCAAACTGTGGGGGCAGTGGAAGACAGCAGTGCCTGGCGTGCTCTGGTCCAGGGGGTCACGAAGAGTCAGACACGAGTAAATGACAAAAGTGGGCCAGTTAAATGACCCCCGTGGGCTGCTTGTGGCCCACGGGCCTAAGGTTGCCGATCCCTGATCAACACAGTGCTTCTCAAACTTGGGTCTTCAGCTGTTGTTGGACTACAACTCCCATCATCTTTAGCTAGCATGACCAGTGCTCAAGGATGATGGGAGTTGTAGTCAAGAACCGCTGGAGACCCAAGTTTGAGAGGCACTGAATTATACAGGCTGCATTTCCCCTTCTGATAAATTCCAGGGGTGGGGATGATTCTTGCAAGTCTTTACTGCTGGAATGCAGCGTTAAAGAAGCAAAACTTTAAAAGCAGTTAACAAATACCCTGAGAGGCAATTCAAAACAAAAATTTATGGGAAAGTGGGATAGATATAAAACATACAGTATGTTCAAAAATGCAGTAAAGGTTCGCTATCTATGCTAGCATTTGATTGACGTGGGAGTGAGACTGAGTTGAGAAATAAGACTAAGAGCACACATTGATATAGGAATGTATTAGATAAAATGTAAAGAAATATACAATAGTAAGAGTACATTCATGTGTAAAAAGGAATATACAACGGGATAGACAGGAAGTCTAGTGTGTTGGTATGTATATGATTTGGGGGGGATTTTTGTTTTTTTCTCTTCGTTCTTCCTTTTTTTGTTTCATTTTCTTTCTAGGTATATAAAATTTGTATATAATTTTCGTATACATGTTGGAAATTATATTGTAGTAAGTCCTGTAACGTAATATGACAACGTTTACCGATGTAATATAAGAATGTTAACAAATAGATAAAATGCAAATTCCAAAAAAAAGAAAGAAAGCAAAACTTATGTCCAGGCAAGAAATAAAATACATGATCTGTTCTAACATGGACTGCCTTTGCCTTGAGTGCCAGCTGTTCCGCTCACTCCAGATGGTGTTTTCCACCCTGGTGGCGGTGAGGAAAGGGGGCTGTTGTGGCCTCAATCCGACTCGCCCCACCCCATCCATTGCCGTCCAGCTTCCTAAGTTTGCCCAGAAATCCCGGTCAGATTTGCTTCCCCAGTCTGCAAAAATGATGTCTTGGCATCCGTGTTCCAACCTGCACAGCAGACCGTTCAATCCGAGGCAGCATTCGCACTGGGGGCCTGAAACAAAGAAGGGCAGGGAGAAATAAGAACTTGGTTGGAGCACCATCAGCAGAAACAGTGTGGGAAATTGTGTCGGAATGCAAGCAGCCAAAGTTCGTTTCAATCGATTGTATTTTCTGGAAACTTGAGAATCAGTGGTGTTAATAATAATAATAATAATAATAATAATAATAATAATAATAATAATGTATTATTTATACCCCGTCCATCTGGCTGGGCTTTCCCAGCCACTCTGGGCGGCTTCCAACCAAATATTAAAATACCAACCAAATATAAAAATACATCAAATATTAAAAGCTTCCCTACACAGGGCTGCCTTCAGATGTCTTCTAAAAGTCTGGTAGTTGTTGTTCTCTTTGACATCTGCTGGGAGGGCGTTCCACAAGGCGGGTGCCACCACCGAGAAGGCCCTCTGCCTGGTTCCCTGTAACTTGGCATGTTGTGCAATGCTGTGTTGAGCAATATATAAATTAAATATTTAAATTACGGTAAATCGGATCAAATGAACCAGCCGGTCCAGCTGTAAAGCAGCCTCCACCACACTTTCACAAGTTCCCAAAAGTTTATTTGGGAGCTTAGCATATGGTTAGGCTGCTCTGAAACTGGTTTAGCTTTGTAGAATCGATAGCCAGGAGGCAGGAAGGCACAGAGCAGGAGGACATCAAAAGAGCGCTTGCTGTGTCTGGGCCTTGCAGGTTTCCGTCATGGCTAACGTGTATTCGCTGGATGGGCTGCTAGTGTTTGGGTTGCTCTTCGTGTGCACCTGCGCCTACTTCCGGAAGGTGCCTCGGCTGAAAGTCTGGCTGCTCTTGGAGAAGAGGGGCGTCTGGGAGGTATTCTACAAAGCGGCAGTGATTGGTACTAGACCAATACAGCACTGGCAATATTCTGCATTATAAGGGCTTTTTAAAGGTAAAGGTACCCCTGCCCGTACGGGCCAGTCTTGACAGACTCTAGGGTTGTGCGCCCATCTCACTTAAGAGGCCGAGGGCCAGCGCTGTCCGGAGACACTTCCGGGTCACGTGGCCAGCGTGACAAAGCTGCATCTGGCGAGCCAGCGCAGCACACGGAAACGCCGTTTACCTTCCCGCCAGTAAGCGGTCCCTTTTAATCTATTTGCACCTGGAGGTGCCTTCGAACTGCTAGGTTGGCAGGCGCTGGGACCGAGCAACGGGAGCGCACCCCGCCGCGGGGATTCGAACCGCCGACCTTTCGATCGGCAAGCCCTAGGCGCTGAGGCTTTTACCCACAACGCCACCCGCGTCCCCATAAGGGCTTTTTATGTCCTCTTTATAAAATGAATCTCAGCGCTTCAGATGGACAGTGTTGTTTGAATGAAGATGCTAAAGAAGGCATATCTCTTTTGCTTCAGAGGACAAAATATATCTTAGAGGAACTGACACAGAACCCTGCACAGATGTCAAGGGAAAATTCTTCTATGACCAAGCCTTTCTTTGAGACCAAGGGAGTGGCTTTTATGACAGCAACCATCCTCTGTGCTTCTAGTAAGCTTGAACATGATCAACAAAGATGGTTTTATGTGCAGATTCTTAAAATCAATATTACAATCTGCACAAGGAAAACCATCAAAAGTTTGTGGCAAATGGGAGTGAATAGTGTGTTTCCAGAGTCTGTCACAATATAGAGGGGGGGGGGAAGGATTCGTATTAGCAACCCAAAGACTTTTAAAGGGAATTGCTTTAAATCCCCAAAATGCAATAATGTACAGATGTGGATTTTGCTTTCATTGGCTTTTCTCTTTTATTAATGAACTTTTAAGACTGGAGGATAAAGCTGTCATAAAAATTAGTAACTGGGTATGGTAAACTAACTTGTAAAATCTTTGCACAGTTCAGAGAAGAGGTTTATGCACTTTTTACCCTTGAAGGGGAAAAAACCAATCTGAATCACAAAAGAAATAAAATGCTGTTTGGTGATAAAAACAGAAGAGCACTTGCTGGATCAGGCCATCCTGGCAAGGAGCCACCAAAAGCTCCTAGCTAGGAGCCCCATCCTCTTTTAAAGCCATCCAAGTCCGTGGCCATCACTGCCTCAAGTGGCAGGGAGTTCCGTAGTTCAATTCTGCCACATGATGTCCTTTTACCTGCCCCGAATTTTCCAGGCTTCAAACCCAGTTGTCTGGTGTGGTGGTGCCACGAGGAGAACAAAGGGATCGCCCTCCATGACCCTCTGGACCCCCTTCCAACTCCTACAGACAGTTCAATAAGATCCGGGGGTTTCTTACCGGGACTTCTTGCTCCTCGCGACTCTGCTTCGCCCGCTGATAAGCCTCCATGATCACAGCTCTCCTGTGAGAGGAACAAGGTGGTCACTAGCTTCTGGTACTCCAAGCCACTTGGCCCTCCTTTCTTTGCAGAAAGAAAAGCTTCTGAGCATAAACAGAGTGCTTTTCATACAACCACCGAGGAAACACGGCCACAGGTCTGGGATTAGGGGGCACCGACTTTTCTCAATTTAGACTAAGACTGTAAATGGCCTTTCTTGACAAATGTAGTCTATGCCCTTTTAAAATGTGGTTCTTTTTTTGGGGTGTGTGTGTAAAATAATAATAATAATAATAATAATAATAATAATAATAATAATAATTTATTATTTGCACCCTACCCATCTGGCTGGATTTCCTCATCCACTCTGGGCGGCTTCCAACAAAGATTAAAAATTCCTTTAAAATGTCACACATTAAAAGCTTCCCTAAACAGGGCTGCCTTCAGATGTCTTCTAAATGTCAGGTAGTTGTTTATCTCTTTGACATCTGGTGGGAGGGCGTTCCACAGGGCAGGCGCCACCACCGAGAAGGCCCTCTGCCTGGTTCCCTGTAACTTGGCTTCTCGCAGGGAGGGAACTGCCAGAAGGCCCTCGGCACTGGACCTCAGTGTCCGGGCAAAATGATAGGGGTGGAGATGCTCCTTCAGGTATACTGGATCAAGGCTGTTTAGAGCTTTAAAGGTCAGCACCAACACTTTGAATTGTGCTCGGAAACTTATTGGGAGCCAATGTAGGTCTTTCAAGACGTGTTATGTGGTCTCGGCGGCCACACCCAGTCACCAGTCTAGCTGCCGCATTCTGGATTAGTTGCAGTTTCTGGGTCACCTTCAAAGGTAGCCCCAAGTAGAGCGCATTGCAGTAGTCCAAGCGGGAGATAACTAGAGCATGCACCACTCTGGCGAGACAGTTTGCAGGCAGGAAGGGTCTCATCCTGCGTACCAGATGGAGCTGGTTATTGGGTTCTTGCTTTTATTTTGGTTTTATATTTATATTGGTTTTTTAAGTTGATCTTTTCTGTGAACTGCCCTGAGACCTCCGGGTATAGGGCGGTACAGTGGTACCTCGGGTTAAGTACTTAATTCCTTCCGGAGGTCCATTCTTAACCTGAAGCTGTTCTTAACCTGAAGCACCACTTTAGCTAATGGGGCCTCCCGCTGCTGCCACGCCGTCAGAGCACAATATCTGTTCTCATCCTGAAGCAAAGTTCTTAACCCGAGGTACTATTTCTGGGTTAGCGGGGTCTGTAACCTGAGGCGTATGTAACCTGAGATACCACTGTATATAAATTCAATAAATCATCATCATCATCATCTGGACCCCGCCCCAAACTCCACCCACAGGTCCGTACTTGGCTCCACCCACCGGCCCAGAAGCCCCGCCCAGGCCCCGGAATCCTTTAGGTTTCGAAAAGCTGGCGATCCTTCTTACTGGAGCGCACCTTTGTGCGCTTTAGAAGAAACGGACCCCCCTGCAGATATGAGAGCGGGGTGGGGGCGGGTGATTCCCAGGGAATGGGGAGGGAGATCATTATACTTACTTGCTAGCCAGGCCTCCCCCAGGGGGAAGGTTAGGGTTCGCTTCTGTAGCCAGACGTTGGAAGACGGAGACGAGGTTGGGACCCCCTTCCTGTTCCAGTAGTTCATCGTAAAGCTCTGGGGTGAGATTTGGGGTGGGGTGGGAGAAGTGGAGGGGCTGGTTACCTCGATGGCGGATAATTGCCCCACAAGTGACTTCTAGGTCCCCATCCCCCCATTCAGACACAACAGGTCCATGAATAATCATAGTTTAGAGGTCCCGGGCCCTAAGGAAGTCAGACTATCCTCCACCAGGACCAGGGCCTTCTCAGTGGTGGCTCCGACCTGGTGGAATGCTCTGTCCCAGGAGACCAGGGCCCTGCAGGATTAACCCACTTCCGCCGGGCCTGTAAGACAGAGCTATTCCGCCTGGCTTTCAATTTGAACTTAGTCTGATCTTTTATTCCCCTTCCTTCCTTCCTTCTCCCCTTTTTATGAAGATCACCCGCTCTGGGATCCCACAGCTAATTCTCCCCTGGTCTCCTCGCTGGCCCAAATAGGACTAATTTAGCCAGTTAGCTCTGGTGATCATCTAATGTTTACTGGATGGATTTTCCCACTAAATTGATTTATTGTTATTCACATTTTATATGGTATTTTATGCTTTTTTTTGTTGCATCAATTAAGTGTTTTAAATTTGTTGTTAGCCACCCTGAACCGGGAAGGGTGAGGTATAAATAAATAAATAAATAAATAATAATAATAATAATTATTATTATTATTATTATTATTATTATCCTCATCTTTATTTGAGTCTGCAGAACAGGCACCGAAGGACGAGAGTTCAAATGATCAAAACAGAACCCTATGCAAAAGAGCTCAGCTCCCAGATCTGCTGTTTGGCACATGCCTTGCAGAACCTGAGCTGCACCTTTGCAAGACCTGTGTAACTTTGCAAGACTCTTTCTTGCCTAAGCTCCGAGCTGGGCTTCTCAGATCTATAGCACTGCATGTAGACCACCAAGCCAAACAAAACGGTGTCCGTGTGTTATGTACTGAGTTGAATGGGATCCAAAATGCAGCAGTCTGATTGGTCCTAGAACAATAGGATCCAGAATGCAGCTGTTTGATTGGTCCTAGAACAATAGAAATCAGAATGCAGCAGTCTGATTGGTCCTAGAACAATAGGACTCAGAATGCAGCAGTCTGATTGGTCCTAGAACAATAGGATTCAGAGTGCAGCAGTTTGATTGGTCCTAGATCAATAGGATTCAGAATGCAGCAGTCTGATTGGTCCACAGGAGCCACCCAATCCAGCTCCAGGTGGAAGTGAATCTACAACCTGATTGGCCTACAGGTGAATCCCGGAATTAGCCAATCACGTGGGGCCCATTGTGTAAATAACGTATATAAAGCAGACATTCTGGGGGAACTTCCATTCCTCCTCACCACTATGAACTGAATAAAGAGCATGAAATCCACTCTCGACTCTGAGTATATTTCACCTTGGCAGAAAGGACAGCAGAAACTGTGGTGTCTTTAGTATATATGGTTTCATTTATCCATATGCACAACCTGAGCCTAGTCTGGAGGGCTCATGGCGTTCGCAGCCCAACAGATCTTGTGTCTCCATTAGTCTTGGGATCCAGCACAGAGCAAGCAGGTCTCTGTGTCTCCAGCTTCCAGCCTCCTTCCAGCTCAGCTCACAGCTCAAAGCACTGGCTATTGTTCAGATAGGTGAGGGGGCTGAAGGACAGTCCCACCCGTTATCCTGGAGGGCCTTGCAACTCTTGCAACCTAGCTCATTTTTTGGGATGCGGATGAGGACACTTTAGCTCAGGGGTCAGCAAACTTTTCCAGCAGGGGGCCGGTCCACTGTCCCTCAGACCTTGTGGGGGCCGGACTATATTTTTTGGGGAGAGGGGGAATGAATGAATTCCTAAGCCTCACCAATAACCCAGAGGTGCATTTTAAATAAAAGCACACATTCTACTGATGTAAAAACACGTTGGTTCCTGGACTGTCTGCAGACCAAATTTAGAAGGCGATTGGTGAAAAAGTTTGCTGACTCATGTGATGGACTATGCCAGGGGTCAGCAACCTTTTTCAGCCGTGGGCCGGTCTACCGTCCCTTAGACCGTGTGGGGGGCCAGACTATTTTTTGGGGGGATGAACGAATTCCTGTGCCCCACAAATAAGCCAGAGATGCATTATAAATAAAAGCACACATTCTACTCATGTAAAAACACCAGGCAGGCCCCACAAATAACCCAGAGATACATTTTAAATAAAAGGTCACGTTCTACTCATGTAAAAACACGCTGATTCCCAGACCATCCGTGGGCCGGATTTAGAAGGCGATTGGGCCAGATCCAGCCCCCAGGCCTTAGTTTGCCTACCCACGCTTTAGCTCATTGTTGTGCAAAGAAACCTGTCTGAGTAGCTCACCCACAGAATCCTCTGTTAGATTCTAACCCTCACTTGGGTACCCAAGAACTGGAAGGGACCCAGGGCATCATCCAAACTGACCCCCCCAAAAACCCTCACAGCACTACTTTCCCTTCCGTTATTTTTCCTCCCCATTCTCAAAATCCCACTCCTCCCTTTTGCCAGCGGCCAACGAGGCCTCCCAGGCCTCGCTCCGTCACGGCGCAAAAGGCGTACGTACCTGCCACCCTCTTCTCCAGGGAAGCGTCCAGCTCCTGCTCCTTTTGCAAGGCCTCCTGGGAGACGCCCGGGGCAGCTGGGAAGCAGACCACGATGCAGGTCATGTTGTCACGGCTGCCCTGCAGGGAGAGCGTAGAGCATACTTGTCAACTTACAGATTTGATAATAAGGGACCAGCAGCCTCGAAAATAAGGGATCAGCAGCCAAAATAAGGGATTTCAGAGCACAGGTATGTTCAACTTCTGAGCCCCTCTGAGCCAAAGGCAGAAAGCCCAGCCAGCAGCCAAACGAAGCCTCATCAATAAGGGACAGCAGCGGGACATGGCGCTGGGATAAGGGACTGTCCCGCCAAATAAGGGACGCTTGACAGCTATGGCGTAGAGTCGTCTGAGGATTGTGTCCTCCCGCCTGCTTAACAAAGCAATTTTTTTGCAAGGCTGACAACCATCTTCTTCAACCTGGAGGACCTTATTCTCCCAGGACAAACATCTCAGATCCGTTTCCTTCCTCCCAGATGCACGAGACAGAGCCAGCCCAGTTTGTTTACAGGCAATGCTTTGACTCCTTATAGGAGGAAAAGTTGCAATATCTGGGGGGTTTTAGCAGAGAAAAAGGGCAAGTATTTTGGGGGTGCAGACAGCATGTTAGAGGTGTGGGAAATTATGCATGGTGCAAAGAAAGTGAGAATGTGCAGCATTTTTAATAGCATCAATGTTGGTGCTGACCTTGAAAGCCCTAAACGGCCTCGGCCCAGTATACCTGAAGGAGCGTCTCCACCCCCATCGTTCTGCCCGGACACTGAGGTCCAGCGCCGAGGGCTTTCTGGCGGTTCCCTCCCTGCGAGAAGCCAAGTTACAGGGAACCAGGCAGAGGGCCTTCTTGGTGGTGGCGCCCGCCCTGTGGAACGCCCTCCCACCAGATGTCAAAGAGAAAAATAACTATCAAACATTTAGAAGACATCTGAAGGCAGCCCTGTTTAGGGAAGCTTTTAATGTTTAATAGGTTATTGTATTTTAGTGTTTTGTTGGAAGCCGCCCAGAGTGGCTGGGGAAACCCAGCCAGATGGGCGGGGCATAAATAAATAAATAAATAAATAAATAATTATCCCACCTTTCTCTCCAAGGAGCTCAAGGTGCCATACCTCTGCCTCCGTGTTTAATCTCCACAACAACCCTGCGAGGTAGGTTAGGCCAGTGGCGTAGCGTGGGGGGTGCCAGGGGTGCCGGCCGCACCGGGCGCAACATTTTGGGGGGCGCGTTTGGCCGGCCCCCCTCGAGGAAGCGGGAACCTCTCCAAGGCACAGCGTGCCGTCGGTAGAGGAAAAAAGCCGCGCAGCAGCAGCAGCAGCAAAGTCGGGAGGAGGAGGAGGTGGAGCGAGCCTGCTAATTCCTTGCTGGGAATTAAGCGGCTCAAGACTCTCTCCACTGGCCGCCTGGGTAGTGAGCCGAGCCGAGCAGGGAGTCTGGCGAGGGGGCGGGAAGAGACTTTCCCCCCTTTTTTCCACCTCGCCTGGTCAAAAAGGAGAGCGGAGTCTCCTCAGGGCGCCCTCAGGCAGGACAGGGCAAGTCAAGCAGAGTGAGGAAGAGAGAGAGGGGAAGGAGGGGGGAAGCAGCCAGGAAACGCCGCGGTGTGGAGGAGGAATCAATTAAGGAGAGAAAGCGAAAAGCCTTGGAGAAAGGGAAAAAAGGAAAGAAAAGAGGCAGCTCCAGGAGAGCGCGGGGGAAAGAGAAGCCTCGCTGCTGCTGCTTGGGAGAGTAAATTACTGTACTTGCCTTGCCCCGGGTTAGGGGGCGCAAATTACTTGCCTTGCCCCGGGTTAGGGGGCGCAAATTACTTGCCTTGCCCCGGGTTAGGGGGCGCAAATTACTTGCCTTGCCCTGGGTGCTGATAACCCACGCTACGCCGCTGGGTTAGGCTGAGAGGCAGCGACTGGCCCCCAAAGTCACACCCAACAAGCCTTATGGCTGAGTGGGGATTTGAACCCTGGTTTCTTCCAGGTCCTGGTACGACACTCTCACCATCCCTATATACTTAATATATGGATGGACACCCATGAAGTTGAAGGTTGGGAGACAAAAGAGAGGACTTCATCGCACGTCGTTAAACCGTGGAACTCCCTCCCACTAGACGTAGCGATGGCCATCAACTTGGATGGCTTTCAAAGGGGATTAGACAAATTAATGGAGAAGGGGGCTGGCTACCATTGGCCACTAGTCATGATGGTTGTGTTTTACTCCCACCCAGTACGCCAGTTTCTGGGAACCCCAAGGGGGCGAGAGCTACTGTGCCCACGTCCTACTTTTAGACACCCCACAAGGCTGCTGTGAGAACAGGATACTAGACTAGGTGGGCCATTGGCCTGATCTAATAATAATAATAATAATAATAATAATAATAAATTTATTATTTATACCCCACCCATCTGGCTGGGTTTCCCGAGCTACTCTGGGTGGCTTCCAACAGAATATTAAAATACAATATTCTATTAAACATTAAAAGCTTCTATAAAACATATTTTGCTGCACTTTACGAAATATGAGCAAACCAGGGCTGAACTGATAAAATTACCCTTGCTGGTACCTTTCCCGGGAAAATCAGAGGCTCACTATGTCAGGTTCCTATTGGAAGACCGGACAAACGCTTCTTAGAACATAGCAGTGGCAAAAAAAAATTCGGTGGTTGCAAGAACCAATGATCCCTATTATTCTGAACAAAATTCTTGTTTAACCTGGAGGTAGGCTGTCTGAATTGTGCATTGCTTTGTAACGATTTGTTGGGTCTCCGGACCGTAATAAAGATTGATTGATTAAAAACTTCCCTGAACAGAGCTGCCTTGAGATGTCTTCTAAAAGTCTGGTAGTTGTTGTTCTCTTTGACATCTGGTGGGAGGGCGTTCCACAGGGCGGGTGCCACCACCAAGAAGACCCTCTGCCTGGTTCCCTGTAACTTGGCTTCTCGCAATGAGGGAACCGCCAGAAGGCCCTCGGAGCTAGACCTCCGTGTCTGGGCAGAACGATGGGGGTGGAGACGCTCCTTTAGGTATACTGGACTGAGGCCGTTTAGGGCTTTCAAGGTCAGCACCAGCACTTTGAATTGTGCTCGGAAACATCCTGGGAGCCAGTGTAGGTCTTTCAAGACCAGTGTTATGTGGTCTCGTTGGCCGCTTCCAGTCTAGGAGGGCTCTTATTATGTATCAGGACCCCAGTGTTTAGTAAAGAAGATTCTGCAACTTCAGAATGTCCTGCATTGCAGGGGGTTGGACTGGATGACCTTTGGAGGGCCCTCCTAACACTACAATTCTGTGATTCTAAAGCTGCATCTTTTCCACTTTCTTTAGAGCAGGGACAGGACAGTTCCCTGGAGTCCAATGAAGTCTGGAGGGACACATGCCTCCCTCACCTGCTGCTTGAACCACCTTCAAGATGCTCCACGGACCGCAGCTCTTTAATGAACTCTTCTGGAACTCACCTTTCCTGCTCCTCCTAAATGACTTACTGATGCTCCACTGTGCTGCTTCGCTAATCCTGGACCTCCAGTGCCTTCAACTGGCAGCTGCTTCCTTAAGCCCTTGGGGGAGGAGGCTGATGTGTGTTAATTACTGTGGGTGGGCCCAGGAATGGAGACGAATGCCCAGCAGGAGAAGGAAAAGGGCAGCAGCAATCTTAAAACTGAATGCAGAGAGTCCCACAGATCCAGTTAAGCCAGGAAGATCTCAGATTCCTCTAAACTTGGGTTGGTTGGTTTAACGTCCAGCTTACAGAGGAAACTCAGCCAGATGAGCGGGGTATAAATAATAAATTATTATTATTTCTATAATATAATTATTATTATTATTATTATTAATTATAATATATAATAGAACAGAATATATAATAAAATTATAATATAAAATATAATATAATTATTATAATTAATATAATTATTAAGCCTGCTTAATGCTTTAATTTTCATTCTGGGGAAGGGGAGTAGGTTTTCCTTTCCTTTCAAGGAGTTGCGATTCCTGCATTGCAGCGGGTTGGACTGGATGGCCCCTGGGGTTCCCTTCCAACTCTGTAATTCTATGAAATGGAGGCAGTGAGAGATTTTACTTTCTTGGGCTCCATGATCACTGCAGATGGTGACAGCAGCCACAAAATTAAAAGACGCCTGCTCCTTGGGAGAAAAGCAATGACAAACCTAGTCAGCATCTTAAAAAGCAGAGACATCACCTTGCCGACAAAGGTCTGTATAGTTAAAGCTATGGTTTTCCCAGTAGTGATGTATGGAAGCGAGAGCTGGACCATCAAGAAGGCTGATCACCAAAGAATGGATGCTTTTGAATTCTGGTGCTGGAGGAGACTCTGGAGAGTCCCATGGACTGCAAGAAGATCAGACCTATCCATTCTGAAGGAAATCAGCCCTGAGCGCTCACTGGAAGCTGAGGCTCCAATACTTTGGCCACCTCAGGAGAAGAGAAGGCTCCCTGGAAAAGACCCTGATGTTGGGAAAGATGAAGGGCACAAGGAGAAGGGGGCGACAGAGGACGAGATGGTGGGACAGTGTTCTTGAAGCTACCAGCATGAGTTTGACCAAACTGTGGGAGGCAGTGGAAGACAGGAGTGCCTGGCGTGCTCTGGTCCAGGGGGTCACAAAGAGTCGGACACGACTAAACGACTAAACAACAACAACAACATTTCTGCAGTTACTCGCCCTTCCGCCTAAGGTCCCAGGGTGGCTTATGAGATTAAATCACAATATTAAACAGAATTTAGAACACCTTGCCATCGTCAAAATAAGGTGGGTTCTAAAAAGACGCACCTCCTGTCGCTATGTTGGGATGAACCTTTGGGCTGCAAGAGCTGTTTGACAGTGGAATGGATTCCCTCAGAAGGCAGAGGGATCTCCATCCTTGGAGCTTTTTAACCAGAAGGTGGAAGGCCATCAGGGTTGCATTAGCTGTGATCCCTGCATTCTTGCCGGGAAATGAGGAAAAGCCTTTGCAAGTTCTGCGGTTCCTTTCTATGCAACTTGCCCTAGCCGAAGGATGCTATTTCCGGATTCCAGAGTCCTCCCATTTGGAGATAGCATGCCGTATGATTTACCCCACTTACTGGTTTGCTCAAACTACGAAAACTTAGGAGCAGCCTTGTTCAATGATTTACATCTCCCAGCTGGGAGGTCAATTGGATATCCGACTTTTTATTAAGGGACAGGTCTCCATACACCTCTGAGAAAGGGGCCTGTTTTGCCTTTAAAGTGGCAATTTTAAGGACTCGAAGAATCACAGAAATGTAGAGTGGGCCCTGAACACCATCTAGTCCAACCCCCTGAAATGCAGGAATATTTAGTTGTCCCATACAGGGATCGAACCTGCAGCCCTGGCGTTATCACCACCACAGAAACATTTGTAAGGGATGATAAGTTACCGTGCATTTTTTCAGGGGAGCAAACGCTTGTCTGGCTTTAATGATTATTTTAACCGTGTAATGTGTTTTATTTATTTTGTGTTTTGCAAAGGCATCAATAATAATAGGGGTTGGACTAGATGGGCACTGGGTGCCCTTTCCAACGCTGTCATTAGAATCAAAGAATTATATTGCTGGAAAGGACCCTGAGGGCTAACTAGTCCAACCCCCTTCAATGCAGGAATCGATACGATAATTTTTATTGACATTGTCCCATACAGAACAATGAAATTGAAAAAATCTACATCAGACATTCAAAACCAACAAGCCTGCTATCCCAGCTATCCCAGCCTGGTTAGCCCCCTAAAAACTCTGATACCCCATAATTAAATATAATATACTCCCATAGCGACTACCTTACACTGCGTTTAAAACCAAAATCGCATTTGGGAAGAAACTGTTTCTCAGGCGGCTAGTCCTAGTCTTTATAACCCTGTACCTTCTTCCAGAAGGCAGAAGCTGAAAGAGATCATTTCTGGGGTCCGCACTATCCTGCGCTATCTCTGCAGCTTTCTTATGGCACCTGGAAGCATAGATTTGATCCAAGGTGGGAAGAGTGCACCCAATTATTCTCGCCGCAGTCTTTACAACCCTGGACAGCGTTGTTTTCCCCCTGACCGTGCAGCTTCCAAACCACACACACAGACCATAAGTTAATACACTCTCCACAGTACAATGGTAAAATGCCATCAACAGGTCCTTTGAGAGATTATTTTTCCGGCGGATTCTCAGGAAATATAACCTCTGCTGGGCTCTCTTCATCAGGTCTTTGCTGTTTTCTCCCCAGGTTAGGTCATCTTTCAACTCCATTCCCAGAAATCGAAACAACAAGACCTGTTCCACGCACAATAATGAGTGGCTAAATTTTCAATTTACATTCCCTAAAGTCCACAACAATCTCTTTTGTTTTCTTTAAGTTAAGGAGTAAGTTTTTTTTCCTGCACCACTCCCCCAACTGCTCAACTTCCTTCCTATAGGCCTCAATCTCAATAATCTGAGACATCTAGAAATCTAAAGGTAAAGTCCAGTTGTGACCGACTCTGGGGTTGTGGCGCTCATCTCGCTTTACTGGCCGAGGGAGCCGGCGTACAGCTTCCAGGTCATGTGGCCAGCATGATTAAGCCGCTTCTGGCGAACCAGAGCAGCGCATGGAAACACTGTTTATCTTCCCACCGGAGCGGTACCTATTCTTCTACTTGCACTTTGACGTGCTTTTGAACTGCTAGGTTGGCAGGAGCAGGGACCGAGCAACGGGAGCTCACCCCGTCGCGGGGATTTGAACCGCCGACCTTCTGATCGGCAAGTCCTAGGCTCTGTGGTTTAACCCACAGCGCCACCCGCGTCCCTTCTAGAAATCTAGTTGGCCGCAATTTCCACGATACTGAAAGCCCCTGGGAAGGTTTTGAAGCAGAGGTTGGATGGTCACCTGTCATGGATGCTTCAGCTGAGATCCCTGCATTCCAGGGGGGTTGGACTAGATGACCCCTGGGTGCCCCTTCCAACTCTACAATTCTACGATTCTAAGTGAGAACCCCCTGCCTCTATCCTCCCCCCTCACCTTGTAGAGGCAGGAGTCCAGCACGCACTCGCAGACGTCCCGCGGGCTGCCGGTGAGGCAGAGTCGCGATCGCACGAAGGCGCACAGCCCCGCGTTGTCAAAGGTATCCCAAACCCCATCGCAGGCCAGCACCAGGAACTCGTCTGCATCGGGGCAGCGCTCCAGCTGGTAGACCTCGGGCTCGGGGGACACCGGCTGCTCGGTGGGGCCACGCCAAGACACGGCCTTGTAGCCGAAGTCGCCCAGGGCCCGGGAGACGGCCAGCGACCCGTTGACCCTCTGCAGCACCACCGTGCCGCCGGCGTTCTCGATGCGCCGCCGCTCCCTCGGCTTGGTGGGCTTGTGGTCGTCGGTGTAGAAGGTGACGGCGGCCGAGCGGCAGAGGAGGGCCCTCGAGTCGCCCAGGTTGATGAAGTACAGGTGGCGGGGCGACACCAGCACGGCCACGGCGGTGGTGCCAGCGTGCTCCCAGGCCTCGGCCCGTGACAGGTCCTGCATGCGCCTGTCGATGGCCAGGAAGGCCTCGCGCACGGCCTCCTTGACGGCTGCGGGGTCCTCCTCCTGGCCGGACAGGGCCTCGGCCTCCAGCACATGCCCGAGCAAGTGCCTGGCGCAGAACTGAGCCACCGTGCTGCCCGCGTGCCCGTCGTACACGGCAAAGAAGGCCCAGCCGGCCAGGGCTCCGGGCAGCTGAGGCTGAGCTGTGTGGGCGTCTTCCATGTGCGCCCGCCAGCCTTGCATGGAGCCCAGGCCGTACCTCAAGCCGCCCACCTCTCCTTCCTCCAGAAGTTTCTCCGTCTGGGGCTTGTCCAGGAAAAAACTGGGGACTTCCTGGGCCTCCTCCGCTTTGAAGAACAAGGAGACCCTTCTCTCGGCTTCGGCCACCAGGAGCCTCACGAAAGTGGCCATGCTCAGGAGCTTGGCCATGAAGCGCAACGTGTTCCCCACAATGTCAAGGGGGCTGTGACCTCCCCTGGGGATCCTGTTTTGCTGCTGTCCTTGAAGAGCAGAAGAACAGGAGAGCCTTTGGGGTCAGGCCAAGGGCCCATCGGCTCCTTGCAGAGGCAACCACAAGCTCCAACCAACTTTTGAGTGCTCTCTTTGAGGGACGCCTCAGGCTGGCATCTTGAGAGACGCGCTAGGGATCTCTCTTGTCCCTGGCGACCACCCGCTGTCAGTCACCGGTGGCTCGCAGATCCTACCCTCTTCCGGAAGGCTGCACAATTTGGCGCCTGGCGGTCCCTGAGCTTTTGACGCCCGTTGAGTGATGGGTGCTCCACGTTAGCCGAGGAGGGTCATTACAGCGTCGCAGCCTCAGTTGCTGATGGTGGTTTGCCCGTGGGACCACCGTGGCAGCCCAGGTGGTCTTCGCTAAAGTCCTTCCTCTTTAGACGGTCCACACATCATCCCCTCTTCCGAAAATAGCATCAGCTGTTCACCCCTAATGTTCCTGCTCTGCTCCCGGCTGCTTCCAGCATCGTCTCTTGGTCACTCCCGCAGCTTCCACCCCCCCTGCCCTGCACCCATCTGTCCCCACCCTCCGGGAAAGCCATTCCCAATTGGCTCTCGGCTTCGGCATTAGCCCAGTGGCTTGTAATCTCTTCATCCAGCGCTAAATATGGAGTTTTAAACCCCCTAATCCTCGCCTGTGTCGGAGGCGGCCTTTGCAGGGACTCCCACTCGGGATTCACCTGCCCCCCACTCTGACCGCCAGATGGTGCCTTTCGTAGCAGCCAGCGGGAGATACGGTTTCTGCTTTTAAAGCCAGGCTCCTCTTAGGGCCGGTTACGAAACAGAACCCAGAAGGTTGCAACCTTTATCCTGGTATTGCACTCCTTTGCAAATGGCCCCAATATGTTTCCTTCTGCATCACCTAATTGTAAATTGGTGAATTGAATTGGGGAACATGAACCGGTGCAAGATGTTTTGGAATTTCATTTTGACGGACGTAATAAGAAAACGTCGCCCAAGATTAATGTTACCGAATGTTTTCGATGACACCAACGTAGATATATTGTCAAAAGAACCATTCTTCTGTATGGTGTTGGCAGCTCAGATAGTCTTTGCAAGTCGATGGGAAACAGCCCCAAATCTTACAAATCTGGACTGATACCTGATGATTAGATAAGGCTGATATTCTCTTACTTGGACTTTGTTATTTTAACCCCTGGGTAGGCAAACTAAGGCCCAGGGGCTGGATCCAGCTCAATCGCCTTCTCAATCTGGCCTGCGGAGAGTCCTGGATTCAGCATGTTTTTACATGAGTAGAATGTGTCCTTTTATTTAAAATGCATCTCTGGGTTATTTGTGGGGCATAGGAATTTGTTCATTCCCCCCCCCAAACATATAGTCTGGCCCCCCACAAGTTCTGAGGGACAGTGGACTGGCCCCCTGCTGAAAAAGTTTGCTGACCCCTGTTTTAACCCATACTTATTCTATGCACCTATTTTACAGCTTTGCTTTTCGGTTTTTAATTTCCACCTGTTTAATTTTCACCCTCTCTTCCCTCTCTTTCATATACATTATAAAATCTTTAGCAACCACCCTTATCCAGGCAGCTCTGCATGTTCCAGAACGACTCATAGGCCATCTGGGCTGCAGGAACCTCACCTCTTCAGAGCCTTAGTCTTCATTCTTTCATTCTGTTTCATTTTTAACGCAAGCCTCTAGCCCACCAACTTTTCATGTCGTGCTTTTTGGACATGCATCATTTCGTGACACAGTAATTCAGTTTCACAAGCAAACAGGAGGTTAAGATAACCCCTTTCTAGCGACGCACAGTTTGGAAAGCTCTGTTCTAGACCTTATTGTGACACAGCCCGTGATGCTTGTGTGTGGCCTGGTGTGACCTCATGGGGCAGGAATGAGTTATGGTGCTGTGGGAGAGAAGGAGGTGAAGACGGATGACTCGACTCGGATGAGCCACAGCTCTCCACACCCACTCCCAGTGCAAGCAGGCGCAGATAAATGAAATCCCAGCACATGAGAACACAAGAGAAGCCCACCTGTGTTCTCACAGTATCCAGCCAGATGCCCCAATGGGAAACCTGGAAGCAGGATCTGACCAAACAAGGTCCCTATCCCCTCCTGTGGTTTCCATCAACTGGTTTTCAGACTGTGCCTCCGACTGTGTAGGCCAGAGCTGCTTCTTCTGTTGCGATCCTTCGTAGCCGAGTAAGATTGTCTTCCATAAACACGGTTTGAACAGTGAGTCCGCAAGTGACTGTGGAGGCCAATTCTGGACCCACACGGCCTTCCACAGTGGGGACATTGGTTCCCGGGTGGGAGTTGATCACGGTGTGGATTTGCCAAGCGTGCCTTCCTCTTAGCACGTTTCTCCCTTGCGTCCTGAGTTTGAGTGTCTTCAAAACCCAGGACACCTTTGGTAAAGGCTGTTTTCCAATTGGGGCGCTCACAGGCCAGTGTTTCCCAGTTGTCGGTGTTTATACTACATTTTTTAAGATTTGCCTGGAGACAGTCTTTAAACCTCTTTTGTTGACCACCAGCATTACACTTTCCATTTTAAAGTTTGGAATAGAGCAGTTGCTTTGGAAGACGATCATCAGGCACCCGCACAACACGACCAGTCCAGCGAAGTTGATGTTGAAGAATCATTGCTTCGACACTGGTGATCTTTGCTTCTTCCAGTACACTGGCATTAGTTCGCCTGTCTTCCCAAGTGATGTGTAAGTGCAACCATCCTGGCTAGCAGTTGTCAACAGTCCTCCGTAAATCCTCTTTTGGATTTATCCATCTCAGCCTGGAAGTGAGTTCCATCATTCAATTGTGCCCTGAAGAGGACAAGGCTATCAGCATAGGGGCCAAATTCATGGGGCCGAGGTCCTTTCATCTCCCCACAAAAAATATTTTGAGGGGGCCAGGGCCCCCAAAGTTGATGAGCATTGCCATTCAAACGGTGTATGTGCACCCGTGTGGTGTGATGGTTTTTGTGGAGCGGGCCTTACCTGCTTCCCCCAATATTTAATTCAAGCTGGCAATTTAAGCTGGCACCCCTGCCTATCAGTGGCTACTAGCCACAGGGGGGGGGTGTCTTTAAATGCCTCTGAATACCAGTTGCTGGAAGCCACAGGAGAGGAGAATGGACCAGTATACCCGAAGGAGCGTCTCCACCCCCATCATTCAGCCCGGACACTGAGGTGCCAGCTCCAAGGGCCTTCTGGCAGTTCCCTCACTGCGAGAAGCCAAGTTACAGGGAACCAGCAGAGGGCCTTCTCGGTGGTGGCGCCCGCCCTGTGGAACGCCCTCCCACCAGATGTCAAAGAGATAAACAACTACCTGACGTTTATAAGACATCTGAAGGCAGCCCTGTTTAGGGAAGCTTTTAATGTCTGATGTTTTATCACATGGGTGGGCAAACTAAGGCCCGGGGGCCAGATGCGGCCCAATCACCTTCTCAATCTGGCCTGCGGACGGTCAGGGAATCAGCATGTTTTTGCATGAGTAGAATGTGTCCTTTTACTTAAAATGCATCTCTGGGTAATTTGTGGGGCCTGCCTGGTATTTTTACATGAGTAGAATATGCGCTTTTATTTAAAATGCATCTCTGGGTTATTTTGGGGGTATAGGAATTTGTCCATTTCCCCCCAAAAAATATAGTCCGGCCCCCCCAAGACAGTGAGACTTGCCCCCTGCTGAATAAGTTTGCTGACCCCTGTTTTATCATGTTTTTAGTATTCTGTTGGGAGCTGTCCAGAGTGGCTGGAGAAACCCAACCAGATGGGTGGGGGTATTAATAATAATAATAATAATAATAATAATAATAATAATTGCCATTTGCCAGGGATTGTTTCCTGTGATTCCTGCATTGGACTGGATGACCCTTGGATCCCCATATCCACCCAGTTGACCTGGTGGTGTTCAGCCCCCCCCTGCATATGATGATTCGCCCCCCCCCCCAATTCTGCTCTGCAGCGAAAGCAGGAGGGCGGGACTACATGTTGAGTGGCAGGCAGGCAGCCAGGCAACCCAACCATCCATCCATCCATCCATCCTTCCTCCTCCCTGGGCGGGCCTTCTCCTTACTAAGGCGAGCCAGACCTCTCCCTCTCCACGACCACCCCTCCTCCCTCACCCCACCCTAAAGACCCCCCCCCCAGGCGACCTCACCCCCACCCTACTTCCTCCCTCCCTCCCTCCTTACCTGCCCCTCCCTCCCTGCAAGGTAGGCTCCTCCGACTCCATCCTTCTCTCTCTCTCTCCTGCATCTTCTCCTGCATCCTTTGTCTCCATCGTTTCTTTGTCTCCTCGCCCGCCTCGCCTTTGCGGCCTCGCCCAGGCGGCCCGCGAGCCTCCGGCCGGCCCCCGGCCCCCTGCCTGCCCTCGGGGCGGCGGGCCGCGGCGGGGGGCAGGATGGGGCCGCGGGGGAGATGAGCAGCGGCGGGAGGAGGCGGCGGAGGGAGGCGCAGGGGGGCAGCGCGGCCGCAGCGCGCATCCCGCATGGACCACGAGGCGGGCGATGGGGCAGGTCCTGGGATTCGCCCATTGCAGTAGGTATCTTGTGGGGCAGGGAGAGGGGGCGGGAGGGCGGGCAAGGCTCCTTATTTCTCTCCCCCCCTCCTCCAACCCCCACCCCCCCAAAAACCCCCAACCGCCCATTTTGGACGCCTCTTCTCTAGTCATCGATGTTTCAAAGCATCGCCCATTTCCTCCCAGTCAGGTGTGGGAAGAAAAAACAACAATATCCATTCAATAGCGTAAAAAAAATGTATATTTTTTTGGGCGGGGGGGTGATGACTTTCCATGTGGAGTACCACTCCCTAGTGGGGGATGGGAAGGGTTTGCCAGCGCTCCCCCCCCCCAAAAAACCCCCCACTTTCGTTGCCCTCCCAATGCATCTCCTGGACCTGGTGTTCAGCTGGTCCTGAGAGCCATGCTCATTTCTGAAATATTTATTTATAGACATGTTTACCCACCGTTTGTGACTCCTGCTCCCCACCCCCGTGTCATGCACACATACAGAGACCTCACAGTGTTCAG